TTTGTGTTCAGAGTGGTGCAATCAGTGATGGTCAGTCATACTTCTCCCAAAATAATGCTATTTATATTGTGCAAGTCAGATAGGAGTCCAAAATAATTATTACAGTTTCTGTGCTTGCCTAGGAATAGATTAAAACTCAGGTCTGTTCTCACTTCAACTGTCCCCAGAATGTCTGCACTACCACAGGCATGATGAAGTTTGCCAAATTCTTGTCTCCTGCATTGTGTGGCCAAAAAAATGTGGGTGTAAGGGAGAAGGGGAGGGAGGGTTTACTTTATGAAGAAAGAGGATGCTTGGGCCATTCACTCCAAGCATTGTAAGTAATTGGCTTTAGATTTGTTTTGTTCTGGGGAGATTTTAATTAAGCTTTTTTTTTTTTGTATGCTGTTTAATAAACATTTGTCCATAAGCGGTATCTTGTGATCCCCATCAGTAAAGCAGGAGGATTAATTTGCATGTTGTTGTTTGTTATTTATTTAAATAGCCACAGCAGTTATAGGGAGTGTTCTGCTAAGGCAGTAGTGATGAGTCTCTGCACTGAAAAGAACAGCATCCAAACACACATGTAGTATTATGAGTATTGCTGTATTTTAGGTGGTGGTTTTTGGTTGTTTATTCAAACAGTTTGGATTGGGAGGATATGGAGGAAAATTGTAACATAAGTAGCTAATATGTAGGATCAGAACAAGAGCCTGGTACCCTTCCTTAAACCTTCAGTGTCTGAAAGCAGATTGCTTGGGAAAATGTTTTTTGCTTGGGAAAATAAAGAAAATGGAGAGCTTTGGAAGTCAAAGTGTTATTGTCTCTTCAGGTTGCTTACATTTGTTACTTAGTATCTTGCAGGTCAGTTTCATTGTTTTTTCTGGGGACTTGACTGCCTTGCAAAGAGGCGAGAAGGTAGGCATGGCTCTATCAGGGCAGATCAAGGGTTCATGTAGTCCCGTATATCCTGCCTCCAGTGGAGGCTTTAATTGGACGCCTAGAGGAGAGTCAGAACAAAGCAAGCATGTGGTACTTCCCCCAGTACTCTTCACGCCTCCAGCTATTTTCAGTTCAGGGACTTCCTGAGCCAGATGTGGCTCTATAAATTTGGTAACCCTCAGAGGATGTATTTTGTGAACTTTTCCAGTCTTTGCTTGAGCCCACATAAACTTTCAGCTTTCAAAACATCAGTTTGGCAAGGAGTTCTAAACATCTGCTACCTCTGTGACTAGAGAACCTGTTTCTCTCCTGTTTTGAAGTTTGCTTCTGCTATTGAATGCATCCTGATTGTTGTTGGACAAGATGCTTTTGTAAGCTTTCCACCATGTTCCTACTTTCTGGTGTCTTTTCCATCTTCAAAGGGTTATAGATTATTTTTATGGAAACTGTTCTGTACCTATGATGATTCTTGTTGCATTTCCCTGAACCTTTTTGTCTCATCTTTCCTAGTAAGTCCAAGAAGTCAGTAGGGAGGGATTTTCTTTTGCTGTGTTGATGTTTCCTAAATCTCATCTTCATTCTTATCTGTCCTGATTTATCCAGAACAGTCATCAGTGTTATATAGTCTTAAATTACTCAAATCTCTGACTTTTCTTTTTAAGCCGTACTGCAATTCTCACCTACCAAAGCAGCTCCAATTTAGAGGTTGTATATGGTCATTAGTAATTTAGCTTTTTGAATTTGATTAGACCTCTGGAGTGATACTTTATGGTCCCAAGCCACTTCTCACTGATCATTTGTCTCTTTATTCTATGAAAAGTCCCATCAGATTCAGAGACATTTATCAAGTCCCTCACAAAGGATTCCAGCATGGGAACACCCCAAGATTTTTCCACAGTTCACACTAGAGCGAAAGATTTTGTTAAGCTTCTCTGTGATGGCATTGTGCTCTCTGTATCTCCCCTTATACCTTCATCATTCGTCACTTCAGACTCTGGCAGATCTCCTGCTTCTGATGTGTTTGAAGAAATGAATCATTACTCATTTGATTCTCTTTTCTAGCTGTTCCAACAGTTCTTTCTGGCCTGTCTTACTACATTTGAAGTGCCAGAGTTTACAGTCTTTTCTGTTTTCCTCATTTGGGCCTGGTGCTGGCTTATTGAAGGGGATGTCTTTTTGCTTCTAGAAAGCTGCAGTGAGCCTTGCTGATGTCCCTTTGCTCTTATCAAGTTTTTCTGAATGATGGTGAATATTGTTTCTGTGCTTTCCATGTGGTTGTTGTTAAACAGCTTTGATGCTGCCAGTCAGATTTTATTTCTCATAGCTGTCTGTTAGAGATTCCTTTTAACAAGCTTTTTCATTTTTGTATAGTTACACTATTTGAAGTTAAGCATGACAGTAGTAGATCCCTTGGGTTTCATTGTTCCTGTAGGGATGCTCAATTTAACTCTGTTATGGTCACTGATGCACAGTGGTTCTGCAGCTGCAGGATGCAGTAGTAGATGATTCTTGCTGTTCCAGACTGAGCCAAAGGGAGCAGCTCTTCATGCAGATTCCCTTACCTGCAGTTCCATGGAACAACCTTTGACAGTTATCTGATACTTTGGTTTTTCAGCTTTGTAGTCTGCTTACTCAGTCTGTCTGGGAGGAGTTGAAATCTCCCCCTAATCAATCTTGCAGCATGCCTTTTGCTGATCTTGCTGGTGTGCTGCTGTCAGCATTGTTGTAGTCTGGCCATGCATGGTGGTTCCAGCACTCCATCTTCTTGATCTCACCAAGCTCCAGACCTCGGTGAGATGGAGTTTCATTTTGATTAGTTTTTAAATGCTATGTAGCATGTAATGTTACTTTGTTATTAGCTGCCTTCCCCCTGAACTTGTATTCTAGGATGATGCCTGCTAGTGACCCCATGAATTTTTTCCTTTCTACCATATTTCTTACATGACCACTATTAGTGCTTTTGTTTGCAATTTGATGTTCCAGTGAGCCAAGCCACCCCTCTTTGTGTAGAAGTCCGTGTATTATTGGAATTTCTTGTTGCCACTCTATTTACTCTGCAGTCACTGCATGTCTATTTTTCATTCTTTGATTCTTCTCATCATCTTCATTTGATGACCCAGAATCTCCATGTCTTCATTTGACATAGCTATTCACACTTTTAACCATGTGTTCTTCTAATCCCCTCTTAATTTTAAAATTTCATTTTCTTGCACCTTATATACCAATGACCTGGCTCCTATGTTAAAGTGAACTCCAGCTCTCCTGTACAAGTGTCTTTATTCTAGAAATATTCTGTTTGCTCATGCATCTGATCTTTTGCTTTGTTACCATCCTGTCAACTGGCATTCAAGTTCCCTTTTTTTTGTCTTTTTTTCTAGCAGCCCATATTTTGCTGTCTGGCTATCTTTCCTTTTCTTCCCAGTGTAACTGGAACCCAGATGGGCCACAACATAGGTTTCTCCTCAGCATTTACTAGGAACCACTCCAGGCTCTGTGACCTTTGCAGATGATGGGCAAATCACCATGTGGTCTTCTGTCAGATCCCAGACTCCAGCTGCCTGTTTGCCTGATGATATTCCAACACACCCTTTTTAGTTTACGTTATAAAGGCCTCATTTATGCATCACTGGGGAGAGGGTATTTGTCAGAAAGGGTTGCTTTGGTCACAGAAACATTCAACTGCCAGTGAAATTATGGGAAAGGAAATGGAAGTGAGGGCAAAGAGAGCAAGTGCAGGAATGAGGTTACAGTGCTGACTTTAGGGGTAACCAAGAGGTGGGACTACCAACTTCTGGCAGAAGTAATAGGAGCAGATCAAGCTGTGGTAATAAAAACACCCTAGGCAGGTGTTTAACTTTGTATTATTGCTATTATTATTACTGTTGTTATTATTATTATCGTTATCATTATTATTATTATCACCTAGCAAATACTGTTGAATGAATGTAGTAAATTAACTTTAGGTAGAACAGGTATGTGTTTGCTTGTTGAATAAACAGATGTATCATTACATCAGAATTTCAGTAGCAACAGATCAGAGATCAAAGCATTTCAGATGTGCTCAGGTATTTGAGTCACTTGCTTAGGGCAGGGATGTGCAGGACCAACGGGAGGGCCATTCTTGGAGGGAGAAGTCATGTGCTGCATCTTATTTTTCTGAAATGATATTAAATTCCAGAGTTTGGGGAAAAGCATAGGTACTTAAAATCAAGGAAATCTTGGCAGGATATCAAGAGTCTATTGAAAGTGTGCTTTTTCAAATACCTCAGGAAAATGTCAGTGTCTATTGATACAAGGCTTAGAGACTAAACTAATGCAGAAAATTTCTCTGACATTGTAATTGACTTGGTTTTGATTCTAACTTAAATTCTCAGTGTGTGCAGGTTCTCAGTACGTGATACATGTTCCAGCTGGTGTGTAACACATTGTTTTGTTTTGTTATTATTTTTAAAAAAAGTATATATCTTAGTAGGGGGGAGAAGACTAAGAGAGATTGAACTTGACAAAATCAAAATCCTGCCAAACTCCAAGACTTTTGTATAAGGCTTAAATACAAACACTAAAACCCTGAGGATTGTGGGCAAAACATTAAATAAATATTAGTACCTGATTGGTAAAAAAAGCAAAGAAAATTTTTTAAAAAAGCATTTTGCATTTCTCTTTCAATGTCTGTTTAAGAGTTATGCCATTTTTCCACGGTTCTTGGGTCAGCACATCAGAATGATTCCTCTGTTGATTCGCCTGAGTAGTGTGCCCATGGAGAGCAAATATTTCAAATAACTGCTTCTGTGTTTTAAGGGTGGGTATTACAAAATTGTGATGTTCAGAAGTGTGGTATTTTCCTTAGAAGCTCTTCCTGAAAAGAGTAACTATGCAGGGCACTTGGGCTTACTGCTGTTGCTAAGGCAAGCCGATCTAAGGGTTCCCATGAGCTGCTGAGTAAAGGACTCAGAGCAGCGGGTCAGGTGTGCAGCTGGGGATATCACTTCTGCTGAGGTTGCCACATGGGTGGGACACAGCTTGATTTCATGTTCTTCTGCTTCCACTCATGCATTTGCTTTGCTTGGCTCTTCCAACAGATCCCACCTCAGTATGGACAGCAAGGTGTAAGTGGCTACTGCCAGCAGGGCCAGCAGCCGTACTACAACCAGCAGCCGCAGCCGCAGCACCTGCCGCCCCAGGCACAGTATCTGTCACAGGCCCAGCAGAGGTACCAGGCTCAGCAGGTAAGCACTGTCCTCTGCTACTGACACTCCCCCTGGGGCTGGGAGTGTAAAGGGGGCCCGTGTGCACTGAACAAAACACACCCCTCGTCTTTCGTGTTAATTGAATAACAGTAATTAAATACTAAATTGGGCAAAATTAAATAAATGTGGAATCAGACCAAATCCTTCTGAGTGATCTTCAGGATATATACACAAATACATCTGCGCGCATTTTCAGACTTCATTTCATACCACTTGTTTAGGGTAAAGCCAGTGTATATGTCCCAGCAACTATTAACTGTGCTTTTAAAAGCAGCTAACAATTTCTTGATGTCAGTGGATGCTGGAGCTTTTCTTTTGTTTTGTTGTTTCCTCACAAGACAGATGTAGTTGAGAATTCCTGCATCTAATGTGGTCACTGCTGATTTGGGGTTTTTGTGGGAGGAGTTCAAGGCGTTTTGGGGTTGCTTTGTCAAGGGAGCATCTTAAAAGATATTTTAAATGGTTAATGCAGCTATTAATTTGAATGTTGTCAGTTTGCACGTCCGGTTAGTGAAACTGCACAGTTCGTTACCCATTGTTGGTTTTGAATTGTGCTCTTTATATTAAGCATTAAAATTAATTTCAAGTGATCTTGTTTTTAACCAAGATCAGAAGTGACAGTGTATGGGTCTGGTTCCCAGACCTGAAGAAACACTTAGATTTTAGATACTGAACAAAATGGATGTGCATAGCTGATGCAGCTGAACATGTAGGCTCAGTTCTATCTGCAGTCTCAGCTCTGTTAATCATGGAGAGGTGATCTGGAAATGGAAAGATGAAACTAAAGCATACTCACCATCCTGGGAAATCTAACAAAAGTGAGTTGTTCAAGACTGGATATTAGTGGAAGCATCAGCACTTGCTGCAAGTCACTGGGGAATTCTGTCAGGCATGGTTGATTAACATTTTGGGATTATGCTGGTGCAATGTAGAAATCTTAGCATGAAATAAAAATAGTGTGTAAAATAAACTAACAAAAGATGCTGTAAGTGGCAATGATACTGGAGACTCCCCTCCTTTGACTTTAAAATAAAGCTATGATAATTTTACTGTGTAATTACATGTTAATTTTTCTTCATCTACATTTTAAAATTCCATTGAGAATTAACTTTTTTCATTAAAATGCTGGATGGTTTATGAAATAGAATTCTTAATTGTATCTATGATATTCTTGTAAATGTCACCACATTTCGTCTTTTGGATTATATGTAACTGCAATTTTAAAGATTGCAGTTGTGTCTTTAAATTTAATTTTCTTCCTTTTTACTTTGCCATTAAATGCTTGATTTCTCTATGACTTGAAAATACTGTTCATAAGCATCTTGGTGAAGTCTCAGCAGATAAAGACCTAGTAATACAGCCTATAAGACAGAAGAAACACGGCTGCTCCAATGTCTACATATCACAGTGTGTGAAATTGAAATGGGTTTTTTGCTGCCTTGGATGCCTTGTCATGTTTTAAATATACTGCCAGTTGAAATGGATTGAATATTTTGGTTTAAAAAATACACAAAACATTCCAATTTTATAGGCCTTACGAGTAACAAGATACTGATTTATCTGTTGATAGTTGTTCCAATTACATCATTTGCTATCATAGCTGGGAAAGAGAAGGTTTGTGCAGTGACATGAGAGGGATCATAGAAGGATGAAGGCAAAATTAGAATAAAGCCCTCCTTATATTTTGAATTTCTGAGAACTGAGTTGAAGAGAAAGGCAGGGGCAGATTCACAGGTAAAAGATACCAGCCTTGATATAGCCAAATTCCCTTTTGAGGATTTGAGGTGACACTGAAGGACAGTCTAAATCCAGGCTCCAAGGGTGATACAGGCATCTGAAGGTCAGTAGGCATTTTTTGCCTCAATCTGCAAGTTGAGATGATGCATGAGGTCCTCACCAATACACTCTTGCAGTTGGTAGTTCTTTCTGTGAGAATTTTACCTGAATTCTTGATGGTTTGTGAATGACTTCTTCAGTAGTGGTCAGCCTCTTAAATTTTGGACTCTGATCTCAGGTTCTGAATTGTATGATAGTTTCACTACATAATTGGAGTATTTGTGTGTAGATGGGACTATTTTGTATAAATAATAAGTAGTCCTAAAACACTTTGGGGCTTGCTTCTTTCCCAATCTCCAAATCGGTTCCATGGCTGCTCTTGCCCCTTTCTCAAGAAGAATCAGCAGGTGAACACTTCTTCTGTCATGTTTCTCTGTAAAACCTCACTATATGCTTTCCCATTCTTTGAGAACTGTTCATCTAGTAAACAATTCCTAACACAAGAAATTGAAGTCTGTATTTCTGACACTTGAGCAAAAGTGTTCTTTCTCTGCTGGTAATGCATTGTAGAAGTACCATCCAGCTGTAACCAGTGTGGAATACAAAAGTTATTACTAAACAAAAAACGAAAAAAGTTGGCAACATACGTCAAATTCTGCTGCTGATAGAAAAGAATTACAAACTGGACTTACATAAGCATAAATATATTTGCTTATATAAGACTGATTACCTTTGAAAAATAAAGAATTATAATTTATTTGATTAAAATTTTAGCAAGAGAAATCGGAGCAGGTACTTGTTTTGTTTTTAGGAGAGGTACCAAGCTGGAGAATGTGAGTGAGAACAAAGCCAAACTCATCTCAGGGACACAATGGAAGGACAAGAAGCAGTAGAGAGGGGCATTTCAGCTCTGTAAAAGAAAGAAAGAAACAAACTCAAAAATTATAAACTCCACAAAATTCCAGAGAGACTGGAATCTCCATCACTGGAGAAATTCAACTAGACAAAGCCCCCAAGCACCCTGTTCTTGCTAGGCTTGTTTTGAACTGGGGGTTTGACTACATGACCTCTCTCTGAAGGTCTCTTCGAATATATGTGATTGTGTTGCTGGGACTTAAAACTGGCTTTACATATTCTGAATACAATTTTCAAATAAACTACAGAATCATATATTACCTGTTGCACCAGTTGGTGTATCTTTCTTATTCCTGCTCCTAAAAATATCAGTACATCCTGTTTATATAATCCTGTCAATTAGAAAGCTGAGGTAGTTTCAGTCATACAATCTGTCATCCTTTCTGTCTGTCATCCTTAGTTTTGCTCTTTCTTTTCAGCTTGCAAATGAATTTCCTTCATGTTTTCTATATTATTCATTAACCATTTTTTTGTCTTTCTATATTGATTTTGTGATGTGAGTGTGATTGAATTGGTTTTACTTCAGGAAGGAGAAGAGAAATGCTTCTCTAATTTGCCTTCTTTTCCTGACTGTATTTTCTTTATTTCCCTTGTAGATTTATGTCAAGCTACTTGTTTTGGAGATTATAAAGCTGAAAATAATGTTTATTCTGTCTGGATGACAGACTTTTTCTTGCCACCAGTTTCCTTTTGTGTAAAACCCCATAGTGTGAAGATCTGGGTATTCTGTTATAGGGACAAAACTGATGTGAAATTTCTTGCAGATGATGTTTTATTTTTGCTCTTTTAGACACATTGTGAGTGAGCTCCTGAGGTCAGGTATAACTGTGTTGTGCCTTAGAATTGGTGCTCATCTTCATTTCTCACATATTGTAGAAGTGTGAAGCCATTGCTGTTTTTCCTTGACTCACTTGAATTCAATATGCAATCTTGTCTAATAAAAGTAAACAGATAAAACAATTTCTGGGACTGTTCCAGTGACTTGTGACTTTCATTCTTCTAATAAGCATAGATGGGAAGGAGGAGAATGGGATTTATTTGAATGTTTGAACTGTTAAGTTGTTTAGATCTTTGTTAAATTGATTGCATGGTAGGCAGAAAGGGAGTTTCATAAGAGGTGATTTGATAGTAATACTGGCACAGTTTACTATAGAACCATATTGTAAGCCAGCATCAGTCATCCCCTCTTCATATCAGGAGCCTGCTGTGTAAAAACTATAAAAGGAAGAGCTTTGTTTTAAGCAAATTTATTGCAGTAGCAGATTCATTGATCATTAGATATTGCCAGTAGATGTAGATACTGCCTCGGCTGGTTTTTTCTTTTTTCTTTTTTTTTTATGTTTAACATCTTTTTACCTTTACTGCTCTTTAAAAGAAAAAAGAGAAAGAAAGATGTGCTACACTGCTGTAGTGTTGCCCTTGGCAGAGTTTTTCATCTTGAAATGGCATATAAATGAATAAATGCTTCACTTGTTTTTTCAGTTTTAAATCTTTTGCCATAAGTAGAAGTTATATTTTGCTCAAGAATGTCGTGTAATTGCAAACTTAAACTGTCATCATTAAACATTATTTTGTTAAGATAGTGTAATGTATATTTTTGGTTTTTATGCTTTCCAACTGGCTTGTAAACAGCCATGTTTATATATTTCCTTGCTTTATGTAGCATGTGTTCATATGTATTGAGATAGAAATGTGCCTTTAAGCTTTATTGTGTTATTTTATGAATTGGGACCATATCAGTTTTTGACAGATGAAATGGATCTGCAAAATAGTTCTCACTCTTAGTTAAACAAAAATAGTGATTTTATTCTACACCTACTGCTGTTACCCTGAATGAAGTCATCTTTTGTTTTACACCTTCCTGGAAGCTCTCTGCTTTCAAGTTTCCAGAATAGAATGCTGATCTCTTTCCTCATGTACAGGCGTGAGATTAAACTGGGAAGAAATGTGGCAGGTCCTTGAGGTGGGGCATGCATATGCCCTTTTCTGGGGCATTGGTCATTCTGGTTAACTCTATGCATGAAGAGTTTGTGTGTGTTTGTACATCATTTGTTGTGGTTATTATGGGTTTTTTTAAGTAGTTCAGGCTCACTCTTTAGTCTGCTTTTACTTAAAAGGAGAAAATGTTTTATAAACAAGCAAACAAATAGCACTCTCTCACTGCCTCACAGGTTTTATTTAAATGTTCTAAAAGCTGGCCAAAATCTTGTTTGTCCCCCAGCACAATATACCTTACTTACTGATCTTGGCCAGATTTTTTTCCAATGCAAACTGTATAGGACAAATAA